AAAAGCAACAGGACACAACAAACAATCAAACACTGGTCAGGTTGATGTGGCCAGTGACTGCTCATCAGAAACATAGAGCTCCAGAGCCAGGGCAACCATCAGAGGTGGAAAACTTCAGACAGATCACTTGATGAGCCAGACCTTAAATCACCAATCTGAGTACTTGAGACTTGCTTGACTGACACTTGTAAAAGGCTCAACTTGGTGAGACTTGAGACTTGACTTAGACTTCAGACAGATAATATGAAATTACTTCTATTTTTTTAATACTTGCATTTTTCCAGATGTTGAGAAGTTACATTTTGTTTTTGAAATACTATGATTTCTAGTACAATGTGTGTAAACCTGGCAACCACCCAGGATATGGCAGACCAGCAGAGGGTCGCAGGATTCAGCTATCACAGAGGGGACTAGTCCAAAAATAATGACATTTGGATTCAAGGATTATGTTGAAAATAACAGTAGTGGTATACAAAGGCTGCAGTCAACACAACTACCACATCTCACTTCATCTTTCACTACAAAACTCACAAAGTAACGCTATGCAAATGAATCTTTTCAGCTAATGTTAGCTAACTTATTGCCTGGTCATAAGTTAGCTAAAAGCTATTACTTAGCTTCAAATTGATTATACATTTTTATTGAGAAAGGTTTCTGATAGCCATGAATGCCTTTTTTGTTTAAGAACTAAGGTTTAGTTTAAAACCTATGCACGCACAAATAATAACCATAGCAGGACTGTGAATGTTTCACTTAAATACGTGATATTCTCATAGCATTAGCTCTTATTAGTCCTGATAATTGTCATAAAGTAGCCTCCAGATTGAAAAAATGAGAAGGAAGAAAAGAGAAGGAATGAAGAACACAGATCTGGTTAACATTTATTTCCTGCCCTGGCAGGAGTTCTAAAAGTGTGTAGCAAATGTTTTTGTGTTGTACTCAGGTTTTCAGCTATAGAGCTATGAGAGCTATGAGACTATATTATAATTTCAGAGCCCCACTCACCATAGTTGTTCATATACAGTAGGAGGCCTGTTATTGTCACAAAATGCCAAATATCAGTAAGATTTATAAGGTGTAATTAAGCTGCAACACCTTTTGTTAATGCTTGAAATACAACTTTTGTGATCACTATCTTTTAACCCACTCAATGTTAAAACTGGGGTAGATCATTAGAATGAGATGCTGATGTTATTCTGCTAGCAAATCTAGCTCTTGCATAGGCATGGAATTAAAATTTGACTTAGAGTGGATGTCTTGGGGCAGCACCATAAATCTAGAGTTTTAACCCTCATATGTAAATGCAGCATGTTCTCAGGAATGGGCTCACTAAGCAGAAATGTTCTCTTCAAGTGCACACACTAACCCTGAGCTTGAATATATGTATGTAATGATGCCCTGATCCCTTATTAAACTGCCCAAGTGCAGTTTAATAGGGCATAGGGTTTATATATATATATATATATATGTATGTATGTATGTATGTATGTATGTATGTATGTATATATAAGGCTAGGCAGCCCAAAAGTCAGATAAAATAATGGATCAAGCATCACCCAGGGTAGGGTTAAATTCACTGCAAGATGCATTTCCTAAAAAACTCACATGCAATATTTTCCACTCAATATGCTTTTTATAAAATTGTTAAGATATTTATTCATTTTTGGAAATATTCTCAGCTCATGCAAGGATACAGCTCTTGTAAACAAAATCACATACATTATAAATGTGCACAGATGCCTTCTTTTCTTGGTTTCGTCTCTGGAATGTACAGTATCTGGAAGTTAAGCTGTATCACAGATATTACACAAAGAGCTGTCACCTAAACACTGTGTCCCCTCTCTGCAACATTGGGATTATTTCATTGCCACATTGTATAAGAGCTGTTTGCTTTGCGTCAGATGTCAACATATTGCATGTGTGCTGTGCTCATTATAACTTGGTCAAAACACTGTGAAGTTCGGAGCTGAACATCAGGGATACTGCTATGTTTGAATGTTTGCAAGTGGACACCAGCATAAACAGGCAAACACACATCAATCGCATGGAATCAAACCTGAGGATGATTTAAAAGTTTGCTCCTTTAAGACATTTGATATATCTATAAAATATATACACTTTAAAAAAAGAAATTAAAATAACCAGTATTTGTATTGTGGAAAATGTAGAAACTTCATATATAGAAACTTCTGGAGCCAATCCCAGTTGACACTGGGTGAGAGGCAGGTCTACCATGGACAGGCTGCCAGTCCATCACAGGGCTGACATGTAGGCAAACAACCACACACACCCACACTCACTCCTATGGGCACTTTAGATTCACCAGTCAACCAAAGCTGCATGTCTTTGGACTGTGGGAGGAAGCTGGAGGGAACCCACGCAGGCACAGGGAGAACATGCAAACTCCACAAAGAAAGGCCCTGGGTTGGCCGGGGCTCGACTACACAACACTAGACTTAGAAATGGAACCAGCTGTCAATAAGGTAACCAAAACTTTGGGTTAGAACATCCCTTTAAGCCATGCAGAGTTACACTTAGCATTGTACTGCTCTGCTTCTCACAAGCATCTTGATACCAAGAGAAGCTGTTGATCAGCATAGAACTGTACAGTCAAAGCTTCAGGCTGGAGTTCACGCCCATATGTTCGAACCCTGCTAGCAGTGGTAAGATTCTAGTTATTCAGTAAGTACATTAAGCAGCCAACCCTTTTTACTGCCAGTTTTTGAGCTTCATCTTAAAGCCCTGAAGTGTAACTTTTAAACTTTGGACACTTAGTGGTAATATCAAACATGACTAAGAGTAAGCCATGCTAGCAGCTCATTGGAGCTGTAGTCTGTGCACTGAACTAAATGTTAACTGTTCCAAAACAGGGTGAGCAAAAAGTTATTTCAAATTTCTTTTTTAACTGTAAAATGTTTACCTCAGAGCCTTTTTTGGTCCGATTTGTAGACCAAAAAAAATTCTTATAAGAAAAGTTCAGTTATGTCATATATTCATGTATTAAAAATAGCTGCAGAATTTCTTTGCCGCAGGTGTCCTCTATGTTAACAGTACACTATGACATCAGTGTGTTTACCCAACAGAAAGTGTGGGTGGGAGTGAACTAGACTTTCAACTTTCAACCATCAGGTGGTGGTGAGACTGTTCTAAGGCCTTATTCTAAACCCTTGATCACCAAAGAATACATCACAGTTTTTCCCATACATTGGCCAGAAGGATTGCTGCAGACCCCACCCACTCAGGCAGTCTGTTTGTGCCTCTTCCCTCCAGGAAAGGGTACAGGACTATAAAGACTAAAACAAACAAACTGAGACACAGCTTCTTCCCCAGAGCTGTGAAATCAATCACCCCCCTAACCCCTAGTCACAGAGACAACCTCCCCCCTATGGACAGACACAGAACACTGGACTTCACACCTCTTCCTAAAAACTGAGATTTGCACTGAGCTGCACCTTATAATGTTACTACACTCTTGCTGCCAACATGCTGCTGACCTGATTAGGTCCAATACATCCCTTTTTATTTGTTCATATTTTTATATTGACTTATACAATTGTGTGTTATGAAATTATATGTCTGTCTTTTAAGCCGAGAGCTGTGGGAAAAAATTTCGTTGTGCTATGCATAATGACAATAAAGATTCTTGACTTGATTTATTTGTGGCGGTCTGCTACAATATAAGCATTAACCGCCAGATAATTACTTAAAATAGGTCAAATCTTATTTCAGTGTAGTGCATGTATTCGCTCAGTCCATCCATGCCCTGCTCTAGTTCTCTCTCTCTCACACACAAACACATGACAACCGTGATGATGGACCATCTGTGAAGATTGAAGGGCTCCCCCCCTCTGTTTTTTTTTTTTTTTTTTTTAACACAACATTGTCAATCTGAGAGACTGAACCCTTCTATCAGCTAGCTAGTAAGGCTAGCTAAGCTGCCATTAGAATGCAGCTGTTCCCGAGGTTGGCACACTGTGTGGACCATGGATGTGTATGGACCACTCTACAAGTGGATAAAGTTCAGGCTAGCTCATAAACTGACACTGAATGTCCAGGGGAATATCGAAAAACATGGGAATGAATGTAGGAAAGCTGATCAGTCCAATTAGTGTAAATAGCGATCCATTTGATTCATTTTGAATATTTATTGGTTTCAACTAGTGCTGCTAAAGCAGCAAGACAGGGTCAGGAAGAGAGATGTAGGAGGAGGGTAGCAGCTAACATTCCTCATGCTGTGGGAGAGCTAGCTGGGGCATGATGGATGATCTGTTAACTAATTTTGGGGAAAATTCTTCTATTTAAGATGGAGATCTTTTACTCAATGTTTCTAAACTTTTACCCATTAGACATGTAAAATCTGTGAATCATTGATCCTCTGGTGACTGTGAATGTCTGTACCAAAATTCATGGAAATCAACTTAATATTTATCAGCATATTTCAGTCTAGACCAAAGTAGGGGACCAACAAATCAACTGACAAACTGATTGTTAGTGTGGCTAAAGACAACACACATATTGCACCAATCTGGAACTAGACTGTCTCAAGTGTCTGCTGAGAGAATAATAATCACATGAACATTCTACACATATGGGTTTTAACTCTTTACTCCTCCAGCAGACTTAGAATAAGGAGCATGTGAGTTTATTATTATACGTGCGCTCTGCTGTACGCTTCCAGTTAGCTTGTGTGCTCGGAATGTGGGAAGACATGTAGATAAGAAGACAAACAGATGCATGTACAGTAATGACAGGACAACAGCTGAGAGCTGTGCAGGCTCATGCATAACTCAGTAAAGAGTAATATGGACCATATGATTCACTTTGAATCAAAGGAGGATGGGAGAAACGTGATGAGAAGGTAGAATGGGTTGTGACAGGGATTAGAGGGAGGACGGTCAAGTTATAACCATGAGAGGAAAGCAGCTTGCAGAGACACTGGTAATTAGGCTGCCTTTTCACAAAGATGCCCATGTGTTGGTCAGCAACCTTGGTTTTTTTTGTTTTTTTTTTTTGCATGTGATGGCATTCTGCAGCACTTTCTGACCAAGTGTCTTAGAACATTCCTATTGGGTGGAATAGTTTGACAAAAATAGCAAAGACCAGCATAGAAGAGGCTCTCTATACAATATTTGACTAGCATATCATTAGACTTAAAAAATATAGATATACAATATCATGCTGCAGATTTTCCAGACACCATCACGTTAAATGTAAGCTCCCATTACAAACACTTAATAGAAACATGTTTTTAACAGGCACAGTAGTGTTACCCTGGATAGGAATGCTAGAAAACATAAAACTAATTGATAGAGTGCTCTCTGAAGCGCTGCGCCTATGAAGTAGACAAGCAACAAGCACTGTGTCAGACAGAAAAAAAGAAATCACTTGTGAAAATCCCAAGATGTTAAATGAAACCAAACATTTTCTTACTTTTTAAAATCAACTATTTGTGCACCATAAAAAATATGAGAAAGATTATTAGGTGAAGAAAACAAGAAACCCCTTGCTTTATATAAAGTCAGTAGTACTGAGAGCAAAACCTCCTCCCTGAGGAGTTCGAGGAGCGCAGAGTGAAGGGGAGAGAGTGAGTGGCAATTACAAGTCCAGAGCAGTAGTTTGAAGTAAGGCCTCGGTTTTTTGTGTTGGTAAAATAAAAACAAATTTAAAAAGAAAAAGAAACATATACATCTGTAACTTAATTACATCTAGCTTGAAAAAAAAATTATATGTGCAAAATGTAAATCTTACAAATATGGGGAGAGTTTATTTTTGTAGATCACTGAACAAAGATTGTGCTTGAGGTGGTTCCACAACCTCCCTCCCTCCAGCCGCTCAACTGTTGGTTCGTCACTGCCCTTCTGCTCTGGTTGGTTGACAGGCCAGCAGCTGACCTTGAGGCTTGTTGTCGATTGGAGCGTGGGCTTCATGTTGAGTGGATGGCCCGTTTTAGTTTTTCTATCTCCATCTGCAAGGACACAAATACACAGCATACACTGAGTGGAGATGAAAACAGCTCTGGCAAAGGACAAAGTGCTCTATCTGCCATAGGAGGCTGAGGTCGCTGTGAAGCACAGTGGGTGTGGCAGGGATTGGGAGTCAGGAATGATAATGAAGCCATGTGCTTCGGTGCTCAGTAAATCTCTGACAAACAGCACACTGAGGCTTAATATTCAAAAGGGGATGGGCAAGACTTTGAAAGTCACTAATGGAGTAGATAGGTGTATTCTGTCAGTGAAAGATGGTGCAAGTTTAGGCCACTGTTGAATTTCATAAATAAGTAGCATTAGCACAGAGCGGTTATACTTCACACTTCACCTGTTGTGATGTGTGGCATAGCTTTATTGGTTTTTGTTTGTATTAAGTTTTATTTTTTATTATTTTTTATTACTGTTATTCATTGTCCTAATGTGCTTTTAGTGTTTCCATGTTCCTTCTTTATGCACCAAGAGGAGTTGCACTGCTAGTTTTGTTGTTTGCAGAGCATGCAATGGCAATAAAAGGAATTCAGTACAGTTTTTAAAAAGGAATAAATATTCATTCATGACAAATCCAACTATACCTGGTCCAACAACTTCCTTTTTTCACCATCTTTTTCATGGCCTGTTATTTCATCTATGTATGTGTGGAGGCAAGATTCAGCCATGTTGTGTTTGTGTAAGTGTGTGCGCACAGGGTGGTGGTCATGGTAACAAAATTAAGCTATTTTTCTGTCTTTGTTGGTGTGGGCTATGTGTGGAGTTTTTCCAGGGCTTTCTGTGGGGGGTGGTCTCCTGTGATTCATACCGATGTCACGCAGGGAAGGGCTGTGCCATGCCTGCAGCCGCTAACAAGCTAAGACAGGTTACTGAAAAACATTGGTAACCAGACAACACTCAAGAGAGTGCAAACCACCACCAAGGCTGATCAGTTTTCCTGTAATGCTGTTCCAACTAAAAGGAATATTCACGTGATAGTGTGACCCTCATAATATGATTCCTTGACTAAGAGAACCTTGCCCTAGCATTGATATCATTATTAGTTTGAAAGCAAGAAAAACAATATTTCAGTAACAGCAGTTTTCTTCAGGATATGGCTCAGTAACCTATGAAGATGCATCTGTTGACACCCTACTGAATCAGCTGAGTTTCAACTAGAATTTGATCTTTGTTGCAAGTCTACAGCATTATTTGTTGTCTCACAGTAGCAAGTTTTCTGTAAGCCCAATACATTTCAACATTCTGGATCAGTAGATCCAGAATGTTACTTGGATCCAGATCAGATATCGTTCTGTGGTAGATCTTATGTGGATGTTATCTTGCTATTTCTGTCCAAGCATTGTAGGTGATGTATATGTAGTTAGAAGCAAAAACATTGAAATTGGCCCTATCTCACAATGGTGAAGAATCCTTAAAAAATTCCTGGATCTGTATCAGCAGCAGAATCTAATGGGTTATTCCATGACCCATACCCTACCGCTCCAAAACATTTCATCTAAATGCATTCAGTACTTTTTAAGTTATGCTGTGAACAAAACATTTTGGCAAAGGTAGCAAAACACTTTTTGCTATAAAAAGTGTTTTGTGGGTGTAAAATGATGTTTCACTACAATAGTCATATCCTCAGGTTTTTACTTATCTTAAAAACAAATTTTTATGACAAAGTTCATTCTTGATCTTGGAAACATCAAGGTCCCTAAAGTAAGGCATCTGCTTTCGATATTTCCATCATATGATATGACCTACAGTCATGGTCAAAAATATTGGCACCCTGCATTTGATCTGACTTTTTTCCTCTGCTGTTTTGTGTCGTTCCAATGCAAACAAAAGAAATAAACATGAGAATGCCAAAGAATTTGTGACTGCAACAGTTTTCTGGGAGAAGTGGTGTGTTATCTGACAGAAATGCAGGGTTGCCAATATTTTTAGCCATGACTATATATCAGCAGATGGACTGCTTAGTTGTCATAAAAATAAAATGTTTTGGGCCTCCGGGAGAAGCCTGATAAATGTTCACATGCGTCAGCTTTGGGGGTGTGGAGTTAGAAAGAAGTTTGTTTATAGACCTTGACCTCTGTAATCAGCCCCTCATCTCTACTTGAGGCTACCATTTCTCAGGTTGGGTGTCAAAAACTCCAAAACAAATACAGGAGGCTCATAAATAATGCACTTTTCTCTGAGTTGAGTATGCAGGGCCAACATTGCCTGAGCGTCACCAAAGCACTCAAAGAGCAGCGTGGTTGAACAGCACGTCGTATAAATTAGTTTTGAGAAGCCATAAACCGGCCCTTACAATGTTCATCACAGAGGTGTCATTAGCCTTCTAGTGCTCTTGGTTGGCCGTGGAAACTTCTGTATGGACCTGTCTGTTATGCACTGCATTAGATGTGTGCATGTGAGTCAGTGTGCTTGTGTGAGGAAGCTGCGTCATTATTTGGCTAAACTAATAAGAGAAATGCATGTGGAGAGCGCAGAGTGTGTTATTATGAGGATCAATAATACCTGCAGGGCCACACGCTTTTGCCTTTCTTCATCCAGCTCTCCTCGGAGCTCTGCTATCTCTTTCCTGGAAAAAACAAAACACATACTAATTAGCACATGTATAACTGTCCTCGGGAGATATAAAAATGATTAATTTAAAATCCAGAACTAATCTTTCTTTGAATATGAAAAAAAACAACAACTAACGGCTCTCAGAGGTAACTGCCATTACAAGCCAGCTGGACCACCCACTGCTTAACCTGAGCAAATACAACGTCAAGTCACATATCTGCTCTTTGATTGGGTGAGGACAGGGCTCAGGGATTCTTTGTGAAGATTTATAATAGTATGACCTGACACCCCCCTCTTTGGGGCCAAATAATGGGTCAACGTCATTTAAATCGCACACAAATGCTCCATATGAATGCTCTCCCATTCTTTGGCACATTTAATTGTGTATTATTGACTGACTATGTATTTATTATGTATCTTGTGATATATAATGATAGAGACTATTATTAAATAACCAAAGCCACTTTGATGTGCAATGTTGGGGAAACGTACTTTAGGTAATAGAATTACGTGACACATCTTAAAACCAATGTTAATTCAGAGTGACTGGACTACTGTGTGCATGTGAACAGAGACTCCTGAGCTCCATAACAGTTCAAAATTCTTCTCATAATCCCTGTGTAAAGTCTTTAAAAACTGCATGAAAAATGCAAGAGCGACAACATATTTCCACAAGTTATGATCCCTGTGTGACAAATGCAGTTTTATATTTCTACTCGCCAACTTCTTCAAACCCCACTTTCATGCACATCGAGGCTCATTACATTTGCTGGGTCTTGAGCAGCTCCAAAGACACCAGCAGCTCCTTCATCTGGCTCCTCAGCTCATCTAGCTGGGAACCTGGCTCTTTAGGCTCCAGCTGGTCATTGCTGCTCAGAGAGCTGCTGTCTGAGCTTGGGGCTGGTGCTGGGCTATGTTTGGTCTCAGTGGTAGGCCTGAGGTGAGATGGTGACTGCGATAATGAACTTGTTGAAAGCTGTGAGGATAAAAAGAAGGAAAAAATATGAGTTAGACAAAGCATTTTTTCTGACATCTACTAGATAAGAATATTCCCGTAATTGGTTTACAGATCTGGTAACTGAAGGCCAAAGACTCATCACACGATTCAGTGACCCTTTGTGCATGGCATGGTCATCTTGGGAGAGTGCTTCCATCAAGATCATCAGAGAATAAAGATGATCACTCAGCAACTACAACTGACGTGTAGTCACCCTTTCTGCTATGGGGACAAATGCCATGGAACTACCTCCATAACATTACAGAGCCACTGGACCTCTTCGCTGTGGACATTTAGACATTCAGGCCTGATGCAGGCTATTTGTCAGGGATAAAGTGAAGGGCGATTCATCTGATAATGTCACTGCAGACCAGCACCTATAGTCTTTGCTTTACTGAACTCTCATATGTGCTTTCATCCTCAAATGCAGAACATAGCGTTTTCTGAATCCTTTTGAGAAGATTTAAATTCAAAAACCACTTTACTCACTGTTCCCATTAAAACATTTGCCAGTTGAACAGCCTAATAATGAAACCTGATTTAAAGTCATGTAGGATGTTTTCTCTTGCCATCATGATCCAAGCTCAAGGTAATCTTGGCCTGGTCAGCATTTTACATATGAATAATAAATAATAATAAAAAAGCACCAAAATTACTGTAAGTACAATTGGGAAAATAAAATAATGGAGAACAACTGTAATAAAATAAGATAAAAACAATAAAATAAATAAATAGAAGGCATATAGTGGAACTGGAAAAATAAAACTTGGGGCTCACAATTGTAATGGGTTACTGTAATAATCCCTCCTGTCCATACTGGCCATGAAGAAGGGGCAAAATCCCTATTTCTCTGCCCAAAATTGTTTTTATTTCTGCTGCTTGCTGTGGCTCAGCAAGAAAACTGTAACCAGAAATGTGTAGTACTGCACATCAAACCTAGTCATTTTTCATCCCCTGTGCTTCTCAATATCTTCTCGTAGGTAAACAAGAACTGAACTCGATGATAAATAGGGTGCTCAATAAAGTATAATTTTCTGTCAAACGTTTAAATTTATTGTGCTTGAAGCCAACTTGGTAACTTGACAACCTGTATCTAAACCAGCTCAATTTATGACAATAACTACATTACTGAGAAAGTTAAATATTACATTGACTTTACATTACAAAAATCATTATATTCATAAGCATTATTTTGCATTTTATCAGATTGTTACATTTATGTTTGAGAGCTATGTAGTTGTCAGGTTATAGAGAATGTGAAGGTACGTCACAGCGTGTTGAATGTTGGGGTGGGGTGCCATTTTGGGAGGGAGGCACTGTATTTACCTGCATCCATTCTTGTTTTGTTTGACTAAAAAGTAGCTTGAATTGTTTAGATCTCACTTTACTGACTGATAATTCAGAATGGATAACCTTAGCTGACTGTAGCTAACTCAAAGTGGACCCAGAGATCCATTCAATTGTGAGTGACAGAAAAATGACTGCACCCTAATCTCAGCTCATCTCAGCTCTGCTCAGCTCTCAGTTTGGGAGCCAACACTGCAGCTGTCGGCAGATAACACAAACACTGCAGATGAATCAGTTTCTGTCCTGTCTGTGGTCAAACTGAACACTGAAGTGTCAGTTTGGATGTAGTTGAAGTATCTGCTACTGCTGTATGGGATAGTTTTTTTTTTTAAATTAACTTACACATGTATGTACTGTATATATCTGATTAATGAGTGTGATGCTCCTGCATTTACCCAAAATTCAACATGGCATAATGACAACACCAGATTCTCTATTGTAATAAAGACAATAAAAACTGATATAGCATCTAAACTGGCCCTGCTAAGCCTGATCCCAGTCGCTCCCCGTAGCTGCTAAGCCTACAATACATTAGCTAAAGTTCTATTCTCAAAGAATTACATGAGCTGCCAGTATTAACTTTCAGTCACTACTCAACACCTTGTGCTAATACATGGTTAGCATTAGCTGTTGGGCAGAGCCCCATCGTTAACTAGCTAAAACTTACAGGGCCAGGGAAATTACATGCACAGTCAAATAATCTTAAACTGTTTATTGACCAAAAGACACTTCACTGTCAGTCTTTTTTTTTTAGTCAGCCAAAAGACACAGTCCTTGCTAACTTTTAAAATATCAAAATTGTTACAGAGTGGCATTTCATCTTCTAACAGGCCATCTTTGGCTGCAACAAATATTTATGCATCTTCATCAGTCAAAAAACATGACACCTCCTATTTTCCAATAAACGGTTATCATGTCCTTTGTGATGTTTGCCATTTACAACTTTAAGTTACCTTTCTGGATTCTGTTAGCTTTGATTTGACATCCTCTTCATCGGTTTTGAAGGATTTCTCTGCACTCACTTCCTTATTGGGCTGCAAGGGAAGAGTTTTATTTAATGTTTTATTTACAATAATATTTTCATTAGATTTTTAGTGTGTAGATTCCTGACTGGCTAACCTGTCTGACAAAAATATAAAAAGTGATTTCTACCAACATTCAGCCAATGTTCCACAGCTACAGGTCTGACAGGTAAGCTGGAAGACATTTTGACACAAGTCACTGTCCTGAAAGGTGAGTAGAGAAGTGTGAATGAATGTTTAGTGTGTGTGCAAGTGAAGAGAGGTGACAAGTTATAGAGACCCAAGAACTGAGAAGCCATCCGACTAAGGAAATCCATGGAAATGCCGTTCAATTTGAGAGTGAAAAGAAACAAAACAGACTTGGTATATAAAAGACACACCAGGAGAAATAAACAAACTTGGTACATGTTGTGCACCAGGGCCCTGGGCATGAAATATAAATGCTACAGAAATGTGTCTGTAGCTTCAAAGACTGAACAGAAATTTCATGGCATTATATTCTTTGATTAGTTAGCTCCAGATTTAAAATAAGGTTTTGCCAGTTTTTGACTATTTTAACTACTTCTACAGCTGCTTTTCTTAAAAGATGAAAATATTTTTGATAAATTTCAAACAAAAACCAGTGCTCATGGAGTGCTGCTTCCATCACACACAGTAGACTGTGGGATTATCAGAAGTGTTGTCTATTTTTCAAAATCCTTCATGTTTTCAGCCTAATAATCTCTTGGGTGTATTTGATAATGGAACAGGTACGGTTTTGTGGTAAGACTGAGGTTTGATAGTGTTTTAGTATATCAAGTCCCTTTACAAATCTAATTACGTTTAGCTTGCCAATATAAATAACTCAAACTCAATACAGAGAATAAATTGATTATTTATACGATATGCATAAACAAAAATATTCTCATTAAATGTAAGGTGTCATAGCTAGATTGATTCTTTAGAAGTATCATTATTCTGTTGGGCTTGTTAAACTGCAAAAATAATACATACACACAAAAACAAATGGTACAGTGCTGTTACAGAGTAATGTTTCTTTTCCTCCACTAAATACACAGAACAGACACCAGCTTGCTGAGAGCAGGTTAAGCAAACAGCTAAAAGTTTCATTTGAACCATTATGGATGGATTGACAAACTACAACTGATATAACGTTCTACAAGTGATGTTTGCAAAAATTATGATCATGTTGTGATCATTGTAATTGTAAATTTGAAGATTATTATTTAAAGGTTTTCCACATTACTCTATTCAAAGAGAAATAATGAAAGAGAAAAAAAAAATCTGTTCTTGTCTCTGCAAATGCACACTGCTAAGACATTTTTCACATCTGCTTGTTATTTAAACACCTGTATGGCTGACCTGACATTATTCTTTTAACTCTTTCTCTAAAACTCTTTTTGCTGACACCTCGTTGTGAATTTAGCTCTGAATGTACTGCCATGTTTGAGTATGCTGAGTGGTATCCTCACCAATTGTACTCCACCAAACTGGGCAGGCAGCCTCCTGGCAGGCATCTTTGGTCTGTTAGCAGTGGGGTGAGAGAGCTTCTCTGAGGTAGATGGCACCTCATCAAAAATCATCAGGTCTGCTGAGGCTACATGAGAGAAGCAGAGACGAAAACAGACAAGGCAGAATAATAAGAAAAACTTTTTGTGGAACATCCACGTGGGAAATTACACTTTTAATTTCATTACATTCTGTCTACTTACTCACAAACGACAGGTTTATTTCCTGTCAGCTAACAGTATTAGCAGAAATAACCCAATTAGAATGCTTCTGCATGATTATTTTGAAAGATGTAGTGGCCCTGCTGAATTTTTTTTATACTGACAGGTGTATCTGTGAGGCTAGATTACTGTTTAATGCAGTGCACATTCAACAACATCAAAAATTACAGCCTCCAAAGTGAATTAGGCATTTGAGTCAACATCTCTCTGAAATAGCTTGAACATATACTGAACATAATCACCTTCATGAAGGAGGATGTATTGCACGACCTTGGTATAAGGAGCATTTGTTAGAAACAAGTCAAGAAGAGAGGATTTCTCTGGGCATTTAAGATTTGGGCAAGTTGAACTATTTATTAATTGTGTAAAATTAAATTAATCACCAACGGATTTAAAAATATCAGAAACAGAGGATAGCCAGTCCCAGTTAAAATTGCCTGTGAGTAAAATCTCATTAAAATTTAAGGATGATACTCAGTGATGATGAAGCATCACTATTTGCTGAAGGTGGTTTATAACAACCTACAATACTAATGGAATTGCCCTTAAGGAGTTCCAATTTCAAGGCAAGAAATTCAAATTGTTTGCTAGCAGATACTGATGATAGGATGCAGTGGAGAAAAAAAAGCTGAAAAGGCTGCTGTCTGTGAATTTAGGGAATGCATTTTATTTTAAATGTATGGTAAGCAGACATAAAGTTGAATAATGAGTATGATGTACTTAAGAATACACAAAGGAAAAAATAAGTCATTCCCTTCCATTATGTAACAGAAAAATTTGAGGGTGTGTTGAATACAAACACATTGCTCCTACTCAATAGGAAACTGTTACAGTTAGAAAGCAGTGCCTGTAATTGAATTTTCACATTCCAACACTTGTCAGACTGGCTTCTGATGTGGAGCTTTAGCAGCATGTTACCACCTTTACCAGGCATCTGTCACAATCACAGAACTCGCCAGTGACATACCTTCAGGGCAGCTCTTTGAAAATGAAGCTCAGATGTGTTCTCCCCATTGCCTTTCATCCTTTTCTGTTCCCCTGTGCCTCCATTAATTACTAAAATCTTCTCTGTCTGGGTTCTGTCTATAGTTTGAAACAGTCTGTACTATACATACCTGTATCTGGGGACTTCTCCCCTGAGTCCCCAGACAGCGTCTTGGGTTTGGCAGGCAATGATGGTTCTAAGTCCGGCTTTGGTTGTGTCAAAGGCACCTCTCCATTGTGCCTGCAATTAAAAGGGAAACAAGGAAAGAAAGGGAAAAAAACCTTTATTGACTGAACTGCTCCACCTGTGTACTGAAAAGCCCATCAGTCATTATGGTCTATAATATACAAGACACCCTTTGCTGACCCTTCTAGACAATGTTATTTTTTTTTGAGAATTCCTTCTTGTAAATGAGGCTATACAAGAAAAAAAAGAAGTGGAACAACAAACATGGATAATAGACCTACTTGAGTTTTGGTGAAGGCGCAAGAGGCTTGTCGGGCCTCTTTGGTGGGAAGCTCACTGGTCTACCTTTCCCTGGAGGGGGGACAGGCTTCTTGGGTGGGACCACCGGCGCTGCAGGCTTGGCTGGTTTATGATCTGGGGTAGGCTTGTCAACTGAAACAAAGAAAGAAGGGTTAAAAGAAGGGTTAAAAGGAGAGTTGGAAGATGGACCAACAATGTTAGTGAAACTGTGTGTCTGAGAAAGGAGAAACCAAGTGGCACAGAGGAGACAGAAAAAACAAGAGGGAAAGGAAGGCACAGACAAGATTTAATGGCTAATTGGAAACATTGTTAATAAAAAAATATAACTTCATTCTGGAAAGTCAGGAACAATGTCTGAAAGCAGTGGTACATCCCTTATTGCCCAGTCAACATATCGAAGTGTCCTTGAGCAAGACACTGAACCCCCAATTGCTCCTGGTGATAACACCGGTGTGGGACTGTGTGAGCGTTTGTGAGTGCCAATCAGTGAATGGCCAAGTAGTGTGAAAGAGCTTTGAGAGTGCTGTAAAGTGTAGAAAAGCGCTATACAAGTATAAGACCATTTACCATTCACTTTGTGTGTGCATGGTTGGGGGGGGTCTGCACCATAGGCATCATTAGACCCCTTACTGGGGCATGTGCCTGAGTATTGATCTGCTGCACCCCAGTAAAAATCACACGTTTGAGTCTTAGCAAGTTCCAAGTATTTGGCAGTGAATTAGTTTAAAATTGAGAATAACAGTAAAATAATTGATTTGTTCTAATCCAGAATGTGAAAGCAAAACAGAAGCTGAGGTGCAGCAGTCAGGGTTTGTGCACCACAGTGTGCTCACAAACACTCATGTAACATACCCACAATGTAAGGTGTAGCTCTGCACTGCAGTGCACACGCAACAATCTGTGTATTGGAGCACAAAACAAATAAAGGAATAGACTGTATGTAATGGGGACTAAGTTAAGTTTTTGAATAATACCGGTCATCTCAAATATAACTGACACATGTAGATGGACAAGAAAATTCTTCAGAGGCGGCTGAGACAGGGAAGAAGTTTGGAGAAGTCTGGCTGTAGCTGGTAAACAAGGTAAAGTTACTTTAGTTAACTAGTACATAACCAGGCATGGCTGTTGAATGTGAAGTAAATTAGAGCTCTGAACATCAATGCATGTCAGCTAGACTACTCTTAAAATGCTGTTTACTACATGAAATAAAATAAATGCCAAATATGTTGCATAATACACCCCATGTAGCGGTCTATGTCAATTTTGGACTATTCATTCTGAATTTAAGGAATATAACAGAATATGTAATGCTCTTGTCACACAGTCCAAATGATGTTTGTTTTAGGCACATTTAACAAACAAACCTCAGGCAGGAAGGGAAAGTGTGGCGGAATCTGCATGTTTCTATGGAGAAGTGCGTGACCAACAGCCATTGCACAATACACTTCTGAAGTAGTTGGAGCATCAAAATGTTACAGGGGCTTAAGAATTACAAAAAATGATTTGATTGTTTTTCTTTTTAGTCATTTGTTGATAGATTCACTTGTGAAAATTTAAATTTGACAAATCAAACTGAAGCTGCTTGACAATCAAATTACAGTACATTACTGTGAAATGCAGAAGAATGCAAAGAAATGTGCAATACAGTGCCAGACCTTTATGCCATAAAAACATGCTGAGAATGTTCTTAATGTATGTTGAAATAAATATTTCAGAAAGATTCATATCTCTACATTTTTACCTTTATCAGTAGTGGTTTCAGTAGCAGTAGTATGACAGTAGAATAATGACAAAAGCAACGCAAGTTCACATAATTCAATGGATAGAACATTTCATTCATGCAGCAGACATTCAAGAAAAATCATTGTATGATTCAAGTAATGGGGAGTTTGTGCCCCAGAAGAGCTTTATGTCTAGCAATGTCCCTGGTCTGCACATAGCCTGCTGTCAATCTGTTCTGTGCACTGCAGGCCTGAGGCAGCTTGTGTGCAATATCATATTAGGTACTTCTTCTTCAGGGCATGAATGTTGCCTCTGTTCAAAGTAAGAAACGAGTCACAGACCATTTTTGAAAACCACAGGTACTGTAAAGACTTCAATCACACAAATGAAGCTTAAAACCATGACTTCTGCACCCTGGGAGAAGCAGTAAAGGACAGGAAAAAACGAGAGGGGGAGCTGTCAAACTTTGTGTTTTAAGTTTTAATTTGATTGTAGTTTAATTTATGATTAGAATTGATATATCCAAACTGATGGTTGCTGATTATTTTGGAACACCCAAAGACAAACTTTTGTTGCTACTGGGGGAGCTCAGGTCTCTTTTGGAGCAGCTATATATGGAATATTTAACACTAAAGCGAAGGCTATTTTATTTACCTACAGAGCTGCAATGTATCATTGTGAGTATATTGTATGCCCCTCCCTCAGTTGTTAGGTAATTTTTTAGTCAGATAGATATTGGTTAGATATTTGTTGTATTAGAAATGTTTAGTGGAGACAGGATGTCTAGCTCAGGCTGTTAAATGCTTAGTCATTCTCATGAGTTTTTTGCAGGGTGCATATGGCCAAGGACAACTAGATAGAAAAAGTTTGCAGGCAGGAGGATTATTGTTATTATTATGATATGTGTAACCGTAATTGTAATCATAATATTTTCTTATGTGTAATGTCATGACATGTCACTAGATGTCAT